CATGACTTGATGTGAGAAGATACGGTGGGCGAAATGATTATTTCATCTTCTGCTGAATTTGTAAGTTTGCGGATTTGCAAAAAAAAACCTTTAATTTTTATGGTAGTTTAATTTTAACAGAGAGACGGAACAAAAGGTGCCAGAGATAATTTATCGCTACTGTTTGATGATGCAACCTATAAAAACACGGGTGAACTTTAACAGAAGGGCAGGTATTCATGTCAGGGGAGACTGACAGAAACATGGCTGTCACCGTGAAAAAAATGTGACCAATAAAGAACGTCACCATTGAAACACATATATGGATTTGATTTGTATCATTAGGATCATGAATGCTCTTCATTTAGTAGCCTTCTGCTTTGGCATGTTGGGAATCTTCATCCCATGTCAATAATTTACCAAGTAAACTGAGAGGGAGTGATCGATTCAAACAAAGAAGCTATACACACACAGACAGAGGTGTGTGTTTGCCTGTTAAAAAACACGAGTTATGTGGGTAAGATTTGTGCAGATTTTGACACCATCGCACACGACTGAAAGCTTTTATTATAAACACAATTTTTGAGAAATAAAGAGTTGATTTTTCACATTTAAATGGGTAAAAAGAAATACTGAACTTCCAACATCACACTTGTATGAACTGCATGTGGGAAATTGGCTTTTTCTGAGACGTCATGATTGATGCTGCCAGTATGTCCAGGTGTTACAGGAATAAAAACTTTCCCCTTCAGCATGACAGATTGCCAGTACTTACAAATATCACACACACCGTTCTGCATCGTGAAGATCAAACATCCCAATTTTCTTAGCATTAACATAGTTGGTACAAAGAATTTTTAACTGGAGGATGACTTTAAGCATCAGTTTATCAGAAAAAGTTCTGAGGGCTTCACCCATACACATTTGCTTACGACTCTGGCTATTGGAAGCTCCGAAATGCTCCATCCATCCATCAGTTTATTCAATTTAAGGACATGGGGGCAGCTGGAGCCTATCCCAGCTGTGACAGGGAGAAAGGTGGGCTAACACAGACAGACATTCACAGCTAAATTGGCCAATTTAGAATTACAAACTGTGGGAAAACCCACAGAGCACCCAGAGAATGTCCACATGGATACTGGGAGAACATGCAAATTCCACACAGAAAGGCCCCAGCCAGCTGGAGGAGTCTTCTTTCATTTCTAACCAGTGCACCACCGTGGTTGTCTTCACAACGCAAACTCTCAACTTCATCCAAAAATCTTGTTGTTTTTTTTTTTTTTTTGTATTTTTCTGGACTCTTTGCACTTCTGCACTCATCCAGCACATATCAAGCTGAGGTCTAGAAGTAATCATACATTTATGAACACTATGAGCAGAATCGCTCCTGGAATGACAGACATGACATTTAATAAAACTGTAATCCGACTGACATGCATCCACATGTGGATGCAAACATACTACGAATACAACATGCATCAATAGACATACTATTTTGAATTACTATTTAAAGACACCTAATATATTTGAAATATTATGCCACAATTCATAAATTGATCACATTAATTAAAAAACAAGAAAAACAGGCCGCTTTTGGAAGCAGGTGTACATCACACCGCATGTTTGTCACTTTCTGCCTCTGAAACGTTGTAATTGTCTGAGTAAGAACCAGAGTAACAGAGCCAACAGCATGCTGAGCGAGGCGAAGATACAACAGTACACCACCGTGCTCCATCCCCAACCTGCTCCTAAAGGAGGCACACCATTCATCTCAGCAAGTATGCACCAGGATGGACAGACCGCTGTCTGAAACTGTTGCCTCTTAGAGTTATGGTGATGTACAGTAACACTGTTAGGGTCTTATTCTGTTGTCTACAGGTAATTATTTGGTTTTTCTTGTCTTCTGGAAGATGCGACCATCCTGAGAGGCCCAGACACTAGGTGCTAAAAAAAATAACAGCTTCAGTCAAATTTCTTCAAGATCAAATGGAAGAAGATGAAGTTCCAAGAATGAAGGTCTTAACTCAAGCCTCCAGTGTGTGATCAGAGGAATATTCCGCAAATATGAGGAGCATTCAAATGTATCCGATTTCTCTTTTCACTTCTTCTTCCTTCTGTCCTCTTCTACTGGATTTTCTATATACTCTTGCTTTCCCCTTTTAAACCCACAGGTAAATATGCCATCGACACAGGCAGACGGACAAATGGATGCAGACATATAGAATATATCACCAGCTACCCATTTCAGTCTGACCTGTGAGCCCACCCACATGAAATCTCCGCCCTTCCCTCAGGTGACTTCCATCATCACATCTGATTAAAACATACTTTTAAAATCCATTCTGCCTGAATAAAACATATATTTTGTAGGTTCAGTACAATGTACACTCATTTACTGCAACACTTTATTAGGTACACATTCCAAAGATCAGACCCCCTTTTGACTCCACAACTGCCTTATTTTTTTACTGCATAGATTCAAACATGGTACTGAAAACATTCCTCAGAGATTTTGCTCCATGTTGACATGATAGCACTACACAGATTTTCAGCTGTGTATTCATGATTTTAATCACCACATCCAGCAACAATCAGTCCAATTGAGATCTGATGATTGCGGAGACCATTTAATACATAAACTCACTGTTCATGTTATAGAAACTAATTTTAGATGAATTGAGCTTTTTGAATAGCACGTTATCCTGTTATAGGCGGCCATCAGAGGATGGGTATACTGTGGACACAAAGGGATGGACATGGTCAGCAACAATACTCAGGCTGTGGTATTTAAACAATGCTCAGCTGGCACTAAGGGCACAAATTGTGCCACCACCCATATGAATCATTGATGCAAGACAGGATGGATCCATTCCTTCATGTTGTTTAGACCAAATTCTGACCCTATCATACAATGTGATACCCGGTATGGTCTTCTGCTGCTATAGTGTTTTATGTTTTCAGATATGCTCTTCTATATACTTTGGTTGAGATGGGTGGTTATTTAAGTTACCTTTTTCTTACTCTCAGCCCAAAGGAGCCTGAACATTCTATGCATATTATTTTAATGGCTGATTAGATATTTGCATTAGCAAACAGCTGAACAGATGCACCTCATGGCGTGGCCAGTGGGTGTATTTTAAAGTCCATTCTCCATGAATAAAACATGCATGCTGTAACTACAGTGTATTCGTACATGCAAGCACCTTAAAGAACCCAGTTTCAGGACACACTAGGCAGCACATTGATGAACACAAGCTGAGCTTTCATGGAAAACGTAACTGAAATCAACAAAACCGAAACAGAAGGAACCAGAAAGACAACACAGTCAGTAAAATTGGTTAGCCAACAACTTGCAGAGGAGAAAATAGGACTACAAATAAGGACCATAACTACAGGTGAATCCAGTGAAGGTGGAGTTGATAGCGAAGGAAAACAAACACAGAGGAGGTAAAATATGGGAAGACCCACAAGGAACAGCAGTTACCAAAATACAACAGGAAGTTACTGCAAATGAAACACAAAAGGCATACAGACAAGGGCAGTCTTTCTGTCTTTCTATCAGTGTGAAGAAGTTTAGCTACACATCAGATGTCAGAGTCAGATGATTCATGAGCTATGCAGTATGAAGGAAACAACATATTTTCATCAAGTAAAGTTTTCATATGCACAAGTGTACTTGTAATGTATGTAATGTAATGTTGACATTACATTCATCTCTTATGTTATTGTGCCATCAGGTGGAAGGCAGGAGAAAATGACTCTATTGCACATACAATTTACTCAGCAGGTTAGTCTCACCTAAACAGACAAGTACCTGCATAAATAATCAGGTGCTAACACAGGCATATAGGCCAGAATCACACCAAAGGAAGCAAACAGATGCAGAAAAGCAGGGAATATAAGACACAAGGAAACAATCCCACTGGAACCCTGGGCTAAGGTCATATTTAGCAACTAAAGTCTTTAGAGTTTTTCTTCTTTATTATTATAATAACAATTATAACAATTTAATATTATTTAAAGAACAACAACACAAGCAGATGAATAGTTAAATACATTATCCTGAAGCAGAAAACCCCATGTTTGGGGAAAAAAAGAAATAAAAAAATCAGATTTTCAAGGACATTGCACATAAAGATTTCATACAAGTAAAAACACTGAGATTGTTGTAAGAAAAACACTCTTCAGACTAACCATCCAGTTCTAGGTGTGGCACAACATGTGATTACAAGTTTTATCAATTCAGGTTTTACTTACTACAAGCTATAAACTCCTAGCCTCATTTCATATGTAAATATGCTCTTTAGTTACTAATAAGTGGTTGTTTTTAAAGGAGAAAGGCTAAATAATAATAACTCTCTCTGGTAAAGAGACCAGAATAATAGTATTTAGGTATGGGAATACATTTGATCATTTATTATTACTAGTTTGGGTTATTTATTTTTTTAAAATATGGTTATTTGAAAAAGTATTATTTCTTCATACTGACTTTTTCCACGTTGATTATAATTGTCATATAACATAGCGAATTACAGAAAAAAATAATCAGTTTCTAGTTTTCTCTTAAGTGGTCTGTGGAAACAAGGACGACAAAAGGGGAATAAACGTAGTCTGTGCACTACAAATAAATATAATTAATATTGCTGTGACTGTTAGCTTGTTGCATGTGCAGTGAACAGGAGCGCAAGTAGCAAAGACGTTGAACAGGTATAAGAAGGCTGCAGTTTAAATCTTATTTAAGTGTTAGAGGCTGCACAAGCACAAGTATTGTTGATAGGCAGTCATCAATACGCCACACCTACTTTCTAGAAAGAACGCGATTTACTCGGAATGATCTTGTATTTAGAGGTGTCATTTCATGAATATCTACTTTTATAAACGTAAAGGTCTTTCTGATATGTACTTTGGTATTCGGGCGTGTAGAACGTTAAATCTGGCGTTTAAGTCTGTCTGATATTTGTCCGGTAGTTTGCTAAATCTGTGCACCGACGGTTATTTGCTCTGGGCCCACCCCCGCGTCTGTCGGTAAGTGGTATGATCAGCAGCGATAAATAAGGGTACACGCGCGGCTGTTCGCTGTAGTCGAGATAGCAGATTGACCTAGAGAACTGATAGCTCAACTTTAGCAACAATGGAGTGGACCCCGATGGAAATCAATCCGGAGGTAAGGAAATGTGTGCTTAATTACAACAGTAATGCTTTCAAAGACAGCAGATTTTTGTCTTACCGCTGTCTTTTTTCGTTTGTTTTTGTTGTTTCAGATGCTGAACAAGGTGCGTATGAAATTAAACGTTAGCCGCCGAATAATGGCGACATGTTAGTAACCACTGATTGACCCAACCGCGAGGTAAGTTTCACAGAGGCTAATTAGTTTAGAGGGCTGTTAACGTGTTTCCAACATTGAAACGCCATCAGACCACTACGAAGCACCAGTATACCAGTAGAGGTGTAGTTGCATCGCCAACTATCCAGGTAACAGCGTTAATTGATACTAAAAATGAAATTATCAGGGTTAACAAGAGTTTGACCGTTATCCCATATTAACGGGCAGTAGCATCCTTCCCGCGGCTGTCCCAGTGTCTGGGCTAAAGGGTGTGGCCTGAGTGAACCAGCATAACGCAGCATCTCTGAGCAGCTTCTGAGAGCATCGTCTGCCAGTGTGCAACTGCTGGGGCTTATTCTTTATTCCGTCATCGTTGTGCCTTTCAGATGATGGGAAAGCTGGGCGTTGGTGAAAGCTGGCGCTTCGTCGACGTGCTGGGGCTGGAGGGTGAGCAGCTCTCCTCCGTGCCGAAGCCGTGCTGTGCCTTGATGCTGCTCTTCCCCTTAACGCAACAGGTAACACCAGGGTGGTGGCGCTGACTACTTCCTGGAAGGGTGGGTCGAGCAAGCGAATATTGGCCGTATCGAGTGGGGTGACGCGGAGATGCAGGGAGGGCATGGATAGAAAAAGAACTGCTAATGTTATTTAGATGGGTAGAGGAGTGAGAGCGAGAGAGATGGCTACGAGGAAATGAATCAGCAGATGCTATCACTACTATAAGTTTGAATGCAAATGGTTAATGTTTAATATTTTTTCACATACTAAACAGTTTAAACATACTGCAGTTAATAAAACAATGGAATTTATTTTTTTTTGATGGTTGAGATTTCCTGACTCGGCTCATTTTAAGTGGTAGACCCACTACACAGTATTATCAGACTGATGATGACATGCTTTTTTTTCTCCCCCCCCCCAGCATGAGTCTTTCAGATCTCAGCAAGCTGATAAGGTTTCAGGAGGTTCTGAGGCTTATTTCTTGAAGCAGACAGCAGTCAATTCCTGTGGCACCATTGCCCTGCTCCATGCTGTGGCTAACAACAAAGACAAAATGACTTTTGGTGAGTACAAGAGGGATCTGGCGCACCAACTGAACATGTGTGAATAAATATTTAAATTGGTGACTAAAATAATTCTGCCTGTGTAAATTTTCCTACTGGACTTTCCAAATCTGTTTCTATAAAATGCATGGAGGAAGTGTACTAAATGAAAGGTTAAACAACAAAGAGTGCTATTACCCCATGATTCAGTTTGATGTGCATAATCAATCTTCCTGGTATCTAAGATAATGTTGACATTTTCAGATGGTGCCTCTGCCTTGAAGAAATTTCTGGATGAGACAGCAAATATGTCTCCTGATGACCGTGCCAAACATCTGGAGAAAAACAAAGTAAAGTGCAGTTAAATTATTTGGTCTATAATAAATCTGATTTGGTAGATGAGAACCAGAATACTTTAATAATCCCTAAGGAAATTAGGATTATGGTTGCTCCAAGACAGTAACAGTAACATGCTGAACTAATTAAATAATATGATACATTACATAGTTTACACATTTAAGAAATGGCTCTAATATATACAAATCGCTCAATTATAAATATCAAGAATATTACAGAGGTGAAATATATGATTGACATTAAACTCTAAACTGAAACTTTGTCATTTGTTGTTTTACTGTAAAGCATGTGCCACGGGTGTAACTATTGCAGTGTGCACAGTGTATTATATGGAGTTGTAGAGGGAGATGGGCAGGAATGATTTCCTGTTTCATTCAGTGGTGCTTTTTGGTAATCTGTCTCACTGAATGTGCTCGTGTGACTAGCCAGCACATCATGGAGTGGGTGAGAGGCATTATCCAGCATTGTCCTTATCTTGGGCAACATCTGCCTCTCAGACACCACCCTAAGGGAGTCCAGCTCCGTTCCCACAACATTACTGGTTTTGTGTAGAGATGGACCGATCCGATATTACGTATCGGTATCGGTCCGATACTGACCTAAATTACTGGATCGGATATCGGAGAAAAATAAAAAATGTAATCCGATCCATTAAATATCACGAAAGCACCTCACATACGCCGTAACTCACCTCAGAACGTTAGCACGTCGGAGCAGTATGCATCACGTGATAGAGCGGCTGTGGCATGCGGGACCTGTCGGTGGTCTGGATAGCATTTGGAGCTTCGCTAGCAACCTGGCATTTCATCTCCGACAAAGTTATCCCCGAGAGAAGTAAAGCAAGTGTGTAAGTCCATCTCTGAATCTTTGTAAAGCATTCCTGCGTTAAGCTTAACGAGCGACTGCCTCTCGCTCTCCGGCTGCTACTTCAATCGTGAAACTGCTAATGATCAGCTGATCGGCTTTTCTGTCGCGAGTCTCTCTTGTTTGTTTTTGGTCCACTTTGCGCCAGAAAGAGGAAACCAGCGGCTGAACAACAGCAGCACGTTTAAGCTTGATAAGCTGTTGTTACAATTTATTTAATATTACTTTCTACACCAGGATCGTTTTCTACGTAGCTGACGAGCTGGTAACTGTGCAGGGGCGGATCTAGCAAAGTTTAGCCAGGGGGGCCGATAGGGCATTAACTGGGAAAAGGGGGCACAAAGACATACTTTTCTTTCTTATTCTCATTTAAAATGTCTAGCTTTTAATAAATAATTATCTGACACCCAAAGTTTTAATTTGATGTAAAATGAATAGAAGTCAATTACTGTATATAGTGACTATTAAGTCTAATATATATACCCTAGTAAGCTATAGTACTTTTTCCTTTGGGAAGGTACCATCTGTGCAGTCTGCAATTTTGTTGAAGAAAGATGTTGAATCTATTTAATATTTCTTGAAAAATAATTGATTTCTGTGCATTTTTTTCACACTGCATCAAATTAAGGTTGATTACGTCGATTAAGCATCATGAGGTGGCAGCGTGAGGGGTGGTTCCCTATTTTTTATTTATTTATTTTTGTTGTTGCTGGGAGTTGGAACCCTATTAGTTAGGTTGCTTAATATTTACGCTAAGTACTCTTTAAAATACCAGAATAGGGAGGATGGTGTAGGTCTTAAGTTTATTAGATTGATCAGTATTGCTGAACTATGAAATATTTTTTTTGTATACAGGTATAACAGAATAGCTTTAGTGTAGTTGTTGTTTTAAACTTGAGTATGAACTTGCAGACTTGCAAAATGCAGCAAGATATTTTAAAAAAACAGTTTTGTTGATTAAAAAACACTATATCGGATTCATATCGGTATCGGCAGATATCCAAATTTATGATATCGGTATCGGTATCGGACATAAAAAAGTGGTATCGTGCCATCTCTAGTTTTGTGGATCAGTTTGAGTCTGTTGGCATCTGCGACTCTTGACCTGCTGCCCCTGCATGCAACAATCCTGAGCATTGTCGAAAAGATATTAAAAGACCTCTGCTGCCACCTCAGAAAATGGCGACGACTTTGGCCCTTGCTTTAGAATTCAGTGGTGTTTTTAACCCATTCCAGTTTATTTACTGTGTACTCCAAGGTATTTATGGTCCTCCACAATGTCCACATTGACCATGGATTGAAACGGGTCAAGGGTTTCCTGGCCCACCTAAAGTCCACAATCAACCTAGATAACTGGAGTCCAGCAAGTAATGGAGATTATTGGGACTGCTGAGAGACATTGACACCAAAGTCTAATTGCTGGACAAACTAAAAATTAAAACAAACTCTAATCTTTTTATCCTAAAGTCTTCACATCTGGGAATATTAGATGACTTGTACAATAGTCTGTCTGTAGTATACTTGTGTCGACCAACCAAATAAATGTAACGGCAAAGTATTATTGTATAAGCGGCTCATCTGACCTGAAATCAGCTCAATTGTACAGGGAAACTTGCAACGGTCCATTTTAAAATGGATGCTTTAAACTTCAGTTTGAAATGACTTGTCCTCCTTTGTGTATATAAAAAAATGCTATATTGTGCAAACATTTTTAATGTCACATAGGTGTATGTGTCTTTATATTCCAGTGTCATATCTGAGACTAGTGTCTGCTAGCAAAGTTGTAGTAAAGTGAAAATGAGTGAATATAATGGCCTAGAATTTCTAGAATGTTGCATAATGGAATTGGTTTTTAAGGCCACTTGGGGGTGCCACATACTGCCAAATTTTCTTTAGATGTAGTAGGTGGGTTCACTTATATACAAAACACTATAAAAACCTTTCAAACTTGTTTGACTGCCCTGCTACTTTTTTTTTTTTTTTTAAATAAAAATGGAAGTATTATGTTTCATTAGTTACATCTTGCACGTTCTTCCCCCTTTTAGGCAATCTTTGATGCTCACAATGAGATTGCTGCACAGGGCCAGTGTCGGGTAAGGCATTTTACCACAACATCAACACACTGTACCACATTCAGACCAAACACATGTAATGCAGGTCAATGTTAGACCTGTGTAGGACAACTTCATATGAGATTGCTGTTATGAGCAGAGTTTTATTTCATTAGCTTCCAGGCAGTTACATTGTTATGGACCACATGTGAGATGGGGTGCGGGTTATTAAAGAGATCAGACTATATATTTAAACAGAAGTAGTTTTTATGGTATCTTTGCTTTTTTCAAAGTTATTCATTTTGTCTCAACCTTCACAGCCAGAAGCAGATAAAGTCAACTTTCACTTTATTGCCTTCGTCAATGTAAATGGACAGCTGTATGAATTTGGTAAGAATTTGGCCCCATGCACAATCCTGTAGTTACTGTCCCTGTATTTGTTTTACATTGTGGATTCTAATATCTTATATCTTAAGATGGGAAAATAAATGGACCAGTGAACCACGGTCCTACCAAAGAGGAGTCCTTTGTAATGGTATGTATATCCAGTTATTGAACTTTTCAGTTTTTGAACATTTACAAACTGAAAATAACAGTCATTGTTCTTTGCATATCAACTAGTCGTGTATTAAACTGGAGAGGGAGTGTGAATGAGAGTCTGCCAAACTGGGCTTAGTCAATTTGTATATCTGATATACAAATTGCAGTCATTTAAAATGAGGTTAAATTATTACATAACCTGGCAATGAAATGCAAAAATGTGTGAGAGTTTTGCAATTATTAATTTGCTTCGTAAATTTTAATTGGACTATTTATGATTGCAGCAAATGATCACAAGGCAAACCCACGTTTATGTGAGATAAAACCGCATCATTAAATGTGGTAATTTATTGAGAACTAGATATGGTAAAAGACTTGCCTCTAAAGTAAGAATTAGTATTTAATTTAATTGAAGTTCAACAAGCTGGTTTGTTTTATGAACATCTGCTTGTAATGCATTACTACTACCGGAGGATGGCAGTATTGCACCTGGCAATGGTGTCGAATGCTCAACAAGTTCCCAGTTAATACCACAGTATTGTTTTAAAATCACCCAGCTACTAGGAAGTTGAATACCTTCATTCCACTATGATAGACTTGCACTGAAGTGGAACTTGCTAGACTGCTGCTTTCAGAGCTACCTATGTGCACAGCATGTAATGCTGTTGAAACATTTAGAGCAGAGGTCCTCAACCTTTTTTGCGCCACGGACCGGTTTATGCCCGACAATATTTTCATGGACCGGCCTTTAAGGTGTCGCGGATAAATACAACAAAATAAAACTAGTACCGGTACCGAAAAAAAGAATTTATTCATAACACACGTGAAAAGACAAAGGAAAACAGAGTAAATGGTAAAAACGATAACAAAAATGCTGAAAACAGATTTAAAAACCATACATTTCACACCTGAACCTCAACTCTCGCGGTCCGGTACCAAACGACGCATGTACCGGTCCAAGGCCCAGGGGTTGGGGACCGCTGATTTAGAGGATGAATTTCCCTAAAGTGTTTCAATTTAACTTAACATGGATCTGTGTTAACTGGCAGCACTAGACCTCATTATCAGGGCATTTACATCAGTGATATTGCCCAGACCTACTAAAATATGAAAATATCATCAGTAAAATAAACGTTAATACAAATGCGCTTTAGGACAGTCTCTCCTCATATTCTGAATAGTGCACTCCCATTTTAAAATTAGTTGATGTATTGTTTAAATATAGTGGATAGAGTTTTGAATAATTAGTTGACATGTCATCTTTTGATTATATCTAGGATGCAGCCAAAGTGTGCCGTGGATTTATGGAGAGGGAGAAAGGTGAAGTGCGCTTCTCTGCAGTGGCTCTCTGTCAGAATTAAGATGTTCAGTAGGACACAAAATTGAGCAAATTGTAAACCAAAATGTCCTGGAGCGTTCACATGACAAACAATCAACAGGCAACCTGTGTGCGCATACATCTGCAGACACTATGCACTAAAGCACATTGTTTCCACATTTCTCTTATTTCATGAACAAAGTCTTGTTTAGCATTACCACATGTACACAAACACAATCAGAGCCCTTTGTTCTGCAGACACTAACAGTACAAGCCTGTCCATACAGTTTAATGTGGTTTAGCTGTGAATCTGTACAGCATGTGGTCATTACCACTGCTTGTGTGCACATGTCTGAAAGTTTTTTCCACTGCATCTGTGTCAAACTCAGAAGACTGATGTTAAAATACCTTTCGTGCCAACAAGTGTGACAGATGAGACAAAAGATGTTGAGGGAAGTTTTGTTTCTGAAGCCCTTTAGTTTCTGTGTGGTTGAGTTCTTAATCTGATGTTCTGCTGAATAGGCCAAATGTATCTGTAGGAATAATCAACCATTGTTTAGAGCAAGGAAGAAACCTACTCACTGTTTTGAAACGTCTCTGGAAAACTGAGGTTCTTTCTGATAAGCTTATGTTTAGTGTGATCGCAAATCAGTTCAGTTCATTGCAGTGTTCAAAAAACGAACAGGCACCTTATTTGAAAACCCAAGGATCCACAAATGATCAAACGCATATACCCTTACTGTGCCAGTTTAACAGATAATACAACTTCCAAAGTGAAGTAGGGAACATCTGAAGTGCTACTGTATGTTGGTTGTTGTGCAGTGCTGGGTGTCTGGCTGTGTTTGAATTGTTTACCTTTCTGCACTTTCAAATCCTATGTCGCTGTCGTTATACTGTTAATACAGCTGTGGGAATATAATAAAGCAACTGTTGTCTCCTTGTCCTGTCTCCTAATATCCATTGGGTATATTTAAGTAAACAGTACAGGGAAATGAACTACTGGGCGATTGTGGCTCAAGAGTTGGGAGTTCGCCTTGTAATCAGAAGGTTGCCGGTTCGATCCCCGGCTTGGACAGTCTCGGTCGTTGTGTCCTTGGGCAAGACACTTCACCCGTTGCCTACTGGTGGTGGTCAGAGGGCCCGGTGGCGCCAGTGTCCGGCAGCCTCGCCTCTGTCAGTGCGCCCCAGGGTGGCTGTGGCTTGAATGGGTGGATGACTGGTTGTGTAAAGCGCTTTGGGGTCCTTAGGGACTAGAAAAGCGCTATACAAATACAGGCCATTTACCATTTCACTGTTGAGAACTTTTCTACCCCTGCCATTACTCTAACATTACAGGCTTTTAGCTGACACACAAAGTGAAACCTTTGTCTTGTGATGTGGTTAAACGACCTCAGGCTCATCCTGGACTGCACTTGGCTGCTGTCCAACTTCAAAAGAGTGAAACTAGAGGAAAGAGCTGTCTATAGCACCTCATCATTGTGCTTACATAAGACAGTCTGTCCTTCAGGTGAGCAGGCAGCATACTGGCACGAGCAACACTTCATGTTTTGATAAGAAACAAAGGAACATGACAGTACACTCAGGCAGTTAGAGCGGAAATATTGCATTTATTTCTTACTCCGAGAATGTCTTTCTGAACAGGTCACTGGATCCAACATAACTGGTTTGACCTGCCAGCTGAAAAAGCCACATTTAAGCTCAGTGATCTGAAACAGCTGTTATCACCAGTGCTGATAGTTACACATGACCAATCCATTCTTTTTAGTCTGTGTGTGTTAAACTCCAACACATGCCACTTAAATTGAGCTATAACTTAAATTGACTAACCTGGTGGTGCTGGGACTGGAGCGCACAGGTTCTTGACTTTTTGAGTCTGAAGCAGGACCTGATCAACCTGATATGGGGGGCAGGAGCCTGTTACCCGGCACCCCCCCCCCCAATCGTTTGTGCTTATTTTTTTTTAACGTATACATGATGTCATGTCATTAATTATGGGACAGACTTCAGTATTGTCACATTACTAAACTAAAGACTTATCAGCTGTGATATAGGTATTGTATCTTGATTATATCATGCTTTGGAGATTCATACCAAACAAATCTGATTTTGTGAATAATAAACACGCTGACTTTAGCTGCCTGTGATTTAAATACTGCAGTTTTACATTTCTATGGTGCTCTTTGCTTCACATTTTAAAGCCTACAGTCTACCTGTGCTCAGGTATGACCAGTCCCCTTCAAACACATTGTGGGTCACCTTCGAACAGCCCCCACCTCCCTCATCACTCTCTCTCTCTGCATCTCTCCTATCTATCTCGACCTCCCCCGCAGAGATTCCTGCCTGCGCGTTCACGTTTCTCGAAACGCGCGGCGGGGGCCGAGGACAGAAGCCTCGCGCAGTTCGGCGGAAAAGAGTCATTATTTTTAGCGCCTGGTTCGCGTTTCGCGAGGAGCCGCTTGTCTGTCTCTGCGCCACAGTCTGCGCAGAGCTCGCGCGGAGCACGAGAGGACTCGCCGTGACAGAGCGCGGAGTTTCGGGGGAAGCGCGCGAGGACGAACATAACGGGCTTCGGACACAGACCATCTGAAGGGAGGCTTATCACGTATCACCGTATCGTCCGGCTTTGGTCTCGGCCTGTCCGGAGATGGCTAGCCCCGGTGCCTCTGGAGATTCACCGAATGCCCCGCGGGAGCAGGAGCCGCTGGAGCAGCACCATCCCGAACCAGCCTGTCGGGAGGCTCAGAAATGGATAGAGGTAAGTGAGGAGAGGGGGGCTCAGAGGCCTGCTGCTATTGCACACCGGGGACATAAACGGGTCATATAGCCACACGCTGTGAGCGGGGATATAAATAATCACCCCAGGCGCATCGTCACCTGTTTGGGAGGAGGGGGACGATGCGGTGTCCGTGTGGGACAACAGCCACTGTGCGTGTGAAAAGTTTTCACCTGTGTCGTCGTCCTAATGACACTGAACGCCAACACCTGCTCTGTAGGGACTTTAAACGCCGCTCGGGCTCGAAAATAAATCGTCATCATGAAGTAAAAGCTCGCAGAGTGTCTGTTTGTGTAGGGACGATGGAGAGCCTGTTTTCTACTTGCTAGGAGGAGAAACGCCCCCCTTTTTGAGGCGCGAGGGGATTCCGGTTGCCATGGTTATGAAACCGGGCCAGTGTTCACGCACGAGATGCTTCACTGTACCCACGGTTGATCGCATCGGATGAGATTATCATTTGCTGCATCGCTTCCACCATCATCTGCTCGGATACAGTGCCTCCTTCCATCAGCCTGAGCGGTGAATCACGGTTTGCCCGCGGAGCTGCTGCCTTATGACCTATTTTATACCTCCAGAGCGGCTCAGCTACCTGCCAGCCAGCATTTCAGATAGAGGAGATAAAGGACTGGAGCTGCTTCAAAATGACTATTTTTATTTTTTTAATGTTAAGTTTTGGCTTTAGCCTCACACCATGCTGTGTTTTCACAAGACTCCCACAGACTGTGCTGGCTGTCCTGTACATTAGCCAGAGAACAGGATGCTGTTATGGATAAAGCCCCTTAAAATGTTTAACTTTGTTTCCTACCTGGTCCTACTTAGAAGAGATGTAAATACAAAATGCATCTTTAAAATTATGATTTAATTTTTTAGGGGAAAAGAAAAATCTATGCGATACCTCTATATGAAATCATAACTGTCCCTCTTGTTAAATCAAGAATTAACTGTAATTAATCACATTTTTTTGAAAGCTGAGTACAATTTCACTAGTCACTGCCAGGCCTGATTACTGTCACACCTGTTGAATCACTTAGATAGAACCTGTCTAATAAAGACAGGTAGCAAACTAAAGGAACTGAAGGATCTCAACAAACTCACGATTTAAAGAAACTCAAGAACAGCTGTGAAACAAAGTCATTGACATATATCAGTCTGGAAAGAGTCCCAAAGCCATTTCTAAGGCTTTGGGACTCCGGTGAAGCACAGTGAGATCCATTCTTCACAAATGGAGAAAACTTGGAACAGTGGTGAACCCCTCCCAGGAGTGACCAGCCTCACAACATTACTCCAAGAGCGTATTGATGATTCTTTCAGGAGGTCACAAAGAACCCTCAACAACATCTAAAGAACTGCTGGCCTCACTTGCCTCAGTTAAGGTCAGAGTTCACGATTCAACAATAAGAAAGAGTCAGGACAAAAATGGAGAAAAAAAAAGGAGAAACCCACTACTGACCATAAAGAACACAAAGGCTCCCATTTATTTAAAAAACAAACAAACCCCAAAACAAAACATGTTGATGAACCCAGAGACAAAAAATATTCTGTAGTCTAACACAAAAGTTTTGGGAAGCTTTAAGTCCTGTTACATCTGCATTAAACTGACAGTATTTCATGAAAAGAACATGATAGGTAATAACCAAATGCACCAGCAAGTCCTTCTCTGAGTGGCTTCAAAAAAATATATAATTAAATAAAATGAAGGTTTTTGGAGGAAGCTTCATCAAAGTAGGACTTAGGTATGCTTGAAAACCATCCAGTGTAGGTGAATTAAAACAATTCTGCAAAGAACAGTGAGCCAAAATTCCTCCACGGTGGTGTGAAAGACCCGCAGCCAGTTATCACAAGTGCTTGATTGCAGTTCTTGCATCCAAGGGTGACAGAACCAGTTATTAGGCTGAGGGGGCAATTAGGATAGCTGTTTTCCCTCAATCATCATTTAAAAACTGCATTTTGTATTTACTCGAGTCACCCTTTTGCAGTTGGACAGCGGCAATTATTTTTTCACAGCACTGGAGCTCACACTTGGTTGAATTTTAATATAGAGTAAGTCTCAGTGTCCTGTCATCAATGAGATGTGAAAAACTGCAGCAAAGCTGAAGCTCGACCAAATTTGAAGCACAGCAAGCTCTACATCTATTTTGTCCTCAGTAGTACTTGTCCTCTTTTAATGACAGTCCTGACGTCGAGGCTACAAAGGGTTACATCTATACAAGAAAGCACACCTAATACTGAATAATACTTGTGTTTTTGTCGAGGAGAAGCTGGATTCAGGAAAGCTTCATAGCCAAACAGTTAAGTGAACTGGCCTTTAATGAGTGCATACAGATAAGACTGAAATCCAATCAGAGATTAAACAACCAGCCAGTGCACTCAGTGTAACAGTGGCTCCTAATCTGGAGGTCAGGACCCCATTGGGTTGCATAATGATTAACAGGATAGAAGAGTAAAAGGACTGACGGTCCGTTAGCTGCATTAGTGATAATGGGGTACTTCTGGTTGTTGTCAACATGAGAATAATGGATTTGTTTTAAAGATAATTCATAGATGAGCTCAGATTTGTTGAGTTGCAGATTTGTTACTTGTTCATGTTTAAAAAGTTTGAAAGCTTTATCCATAACTTGGAGTATTCATCATTGTATTTCAGGCTGTGTGTGCTTTATTTATATGCACCCCATTTATTGTGACTTGTATCATTATTTAATAAGCATTCGATAAATAACTTTACATATGCATTGTTGTGTTGTCTCCAAACTTGTAAAGACAGCAGTATATTCAAAGTACTGAGATGAGAATTTAAAACACAGTACTGTGTCTTTATTGAGAAGAAAATAAGTCTTCAACTTTCAGATTTATCTAACACTCTAAATCTTGGAGATAACAGTCATTTTTAAGCCCTTCTGCAGTTGGCTGAGTCCTCTTTGTTTTTTTGGGACCATCTGTCACTTTCATAACTACATATACAGCTTCAGCACCTGATAGTTTTTGACCCTACACTGTGGACTGTGTTAGCTTTTCCCTCAGCAGCAGGCACAGTCTAGTCTAGGTTAATGCCCACCTCTTAATCTTAATCTCTCCTGCGTCTTTGCTCAGTGTTCCTCTCGCTTTGTCGTCTTCCTGCCTCCTAATACTCCAGTTATTTTCAGGCTGCTCAGGCTCAACCTATTTCTGGT